CCTGGATATGGTCAGCCATGGTGGACAGGAAGGACCAGCCTACCATCACCATAATGTGCACCTGACAAATGGTACACAGGAACCTATCAAAGCTGGATCAATCAACTGCTGGGAGGGACATTCTACTCAATGAGTTCACTGCCTAGTCTCACTTCCGGAAGAGGAAAAGCCCTGACTAGCCATGCTCCACAGCCTTGGTAATGGTTTTATCTCTCACTATAAATAGGAAAGTGTCCTGTGAACTTGTTCAGCCTATATTGATTTGGTGGAAGTCTGATGACTTCCTAGAACCCCCAGAGATCAGATAACATTTGAGGGTCATCAGGACCCCTGAGTTTTCAGCTGCATCGTCTTTGGCTCATTACCCATGCACAGTAACCCTTAATTTTTTTAAAAATAACTTTAAAAATGTATTACTATTATTATGTGTGTGGGTGTTTGCCTGCATGTATGTCTGCACCATGGCATGCCTAGAAAGTGTTGGATCCCCTGGAATTGAAGTCACACCAGTTGTGAGCTACTATGTAAATGACTGGAATGAACCTGGGTCCTCTGGAAGAGCAGCCAGCACTCTTAACGTGAGCCATCTCTCCAGCCCAACCCTTCATTTTAACCACACTGTTTTAATAGAATAGCTGAAATTTCCAGGATTGGTCTAGTTCCAGAAAGTATAAAGACATCCTGTCTTCAGGACCTGAGGCAACCTTGCTGGTCCTTTGGATCCACATGTTTTTCAAGGACATGAAAGAGAAAACAAGTGGACCCTGTCTTTCTCCCAGGCAATGACCCAGCAGCAGCCTTGTCTTTACAGAGCTTCTCCAAAGAGATTCTAGCAGTTCATGGTTTTGGAGGCCAGAGCAGTATGCCAGGCTGGGCAGACCATAGAGGCTTGCTCCTCCTACACTACATTTTCTAGCAGTGTAGGGGATGAAACCCAGAGCCCTACACAGGCTAGGAAAATGCTCTACCACTGGGCTAGGCCCCCGTCACACATCCACTTTTGACACATTCTCAACTGCAGGGGACATGAAAAATAAAAGCTCACTCAGGAGCTGGGGAGATGGCTCAGTCAGTAAGTACTTGCTCTACAAGTGCGAGGACTGAGTTTGAGTCTGCAGCACCCATGTTAAAAAACCAGGCATGAGCTGGGTGGTGGTGGCGCACACCTTTAATCCCAGCACTTGGGAGGCAGAGACAGGTGGACCTCTGTGAGTTCAAGGCTAACCTGGTCTACAAAGCGAGGTCTAGGACAGCCAGAACTGTTACACAAAAAAAAACCCTGTTTCATCCCTCCCTTCCCCAAAAGAGCCTGGCATGGCTAAACATGCCTGTAACCCCAGCACTAGAGGAGAGACAAGCAGATCCAGAGAACTTGCTGGCCAACCAGCCTAGCCAAAGAGGTTGGGAGACCCCACTTCAAGGCAATAAGGTGGAAAATGATAAAGGAAGATATCCTGTTCTGACCTTTGCATGCACATACCCAGTGCAACACATACATACACAGGCTCATGCAAAAGCTCACTTATCCAGACCCCTTTACAGATATGATGGCCTTGACCAGTAAGGTTTTGGCACAGTGACCTTATTTCCAAACAGAAAACAACGTATATGAAAAAAGCCCTTCACCTTTCCCCAGCCTGCTATACAGATATAAATCCTGCAATACTACAGTGACACTCAATGACCAAGGGACTACACTATGAGGCCACTATTGAGCATCTGGGAAACTGCTTTTGTTGTTGACTTTATTTTATGTGACAATTGTGTGTGGCTGGATCACAGAGGTCAACTTGAGTTGGTTCCTCTTTCTGCTACGTGGGTCTTGAGGATTGAACTCAGGTCATCATCAGACACATTTACCTGCTGAGCCATCTCAACAGCACTCTAGGGAGAAAAAATTGTTGTTGGTTTTCTTTCCTTCCTTTGGACAACTTTTTAGTGAGGAAAACAGAATGGTATTTCAAGCTCAATTTGTCAAGTTTTTGTAACCCAACTGACTTCTCACTAGTAAACAAGAGCAATGCTAGACATACTGTTTATCTCAACTCCACAACTGTGCTGTGTAGAGGCCCCACTTACAGTGAGGAACTGACCCACTGTGGCAGAGCAGGAACCAAAGCCACATCAACTCTCCAGCACAGCTGCCTCTCCAACTGCCAAAGCGTGACTCTTAGTGCCGGATTATGACTGATGGGGACCATCCCAGGACACCTTACCTTTCTGGATCATTTCCTTCGTCTTAGGGTGAGGCATTTTGATGAACATGTTCCCAAAGCAAACCATCACATCTTCTGAAATAGCAAACAGACATTTATTTCTTCAACATGTTTTATATCTTCTCTTTGAAGCACTGACTATCTGCCAGGCATTGTTTGGATGCTAAGAACATAGCCCAACAAGACGGTTCCTGCCCTTGGGGAACTCATGTCAGAGCCAAAGGCGGGGAATAGCAAGCTGTTTCTCCATACTGCTCAGAACTACTATACAAAAATAAAGCTGTTTAAGGGTGATGGGAAGCATGAGAGGAGAAGTATGAGCTCTCTTTGGAGATGTGACATCCAGGCAGAGAACTGAGGAGAGGGAGGACATCTCCCTTAGATACCTGGGCAGACAGACAGAGGCAGGCGGAGGAGGCAACAGCCGGACTCGGCAGTCCTTTGATGCCAGGACAACCAGGAGACCAGTGAGTCAACCCGTGGGAGAGTGGGCACTACCACGGTGGAGCCCATGTGGGGCTGGGCCATGGAGTCCTGCAAGACAACTCTGGGTTCTACTCTGGTGAGATAAGCAGCCGGTGGAATGCACGTCGGTGCCCTTCATTACGGCCTGAATGCTGCCCATCTTTCCAGAAGTGCTTCATGTTGTCCCCTGCTTGCGCACACTGCCACAGCCACCTGGCCTCATCTAAAGAGCCCCACCTCCTCCCTCCTAGGCAGTCTCAACACCCACTCACGGTCAACTCGAGCGTTAGCTTCCTCACACTTTTCAGTTACGTTTACGCTGCTTTTCCTCGTGTGGAACATAAGGGCAGACTGCTAGTGCTCTTATGTGCTGTGAGCACTCAGTATCTGCCATCAATGAGCTGCTAGTGCTCTGATGTGCTGTGAGCACTCAGTATCTGCCATCAGTGAGTGATGAGCTAATGGCCTGCCACTGAAGTGAGCAGCTAAAACCCTGAGTCACAGCATATGTCTGACCTGCAGCGTTGGCCCGCTCTTCTCCGCAAGCTGTTTTAGTTTCCTGTGGGGCTGAGTCACAGTCCCAGCCTCCTGCCTTGTCTCTACCAGGGACAATAAAGGCCTTCAGAAGAGAACTGAACCAGTTTCCAGGGCTTCAGTGAGGATGTCACAACTTACCAGAGTTGCTCAGGTCCTTCTGTAGGGCCCTCAGGCCCTCTCGGTTCTGATTCCTCTTGGTGTCCAGGTCCACAATCTGAAAACAGAGGCAGAGAGAACTCAGCTGTCTGCTGCCCCAACCTGAAAGCATCATTCCTGGCTAACTCCAATGTCCTGCCTAACGTGGACGGACTCAAGTGTGACTGTGACTTCACCCGCTCAGCTGCCAGCTCCTCCGCTTGTACAGGAGCCCCCTTCCTCCCGAGCAGGCGGTAGGAAAACGTTTACCAATTAAGAATCATTTGTATCATCCATTCAAACTCGAGCATGTACCAGGGCCATCAGGGAGGTGAGTGTCTCCTCTAGACAGGGATTATTGACAGGCTATTGTAGGTAATTCTGACAGTCTCACTACACATTCAATCACCCTGGACTGGAACAGTATAGTAGGACACCACCATGACAGCTACTCAGGAGGTGACTCTGGGGCTGGAGTACACAGGAATCCTGCTGCTTGTGAACCATCACACCTCCTCACTATAGACCACAAGGAGTAATTATGACAGCTTTTGGAGACGATTTTTCACAGTATATTTCTCACCCCATCACTACCATCTGGTCCAAATCCAGATCATCTGGATTAACTAAATAAGTGGCTCTCAACCTGTGGGTCTTGATCCTTTCACAGGGTCACCTAAGACCACCGGAAAACACAGATATTTACAATTCATAACAGCAGCAAAATTACAGCTTTGAAGGAGCAATGAAAATAATTTTATGGTTGCGGGTCACCACAACATGAGGAACTGTATTAAAGGATCGCAGCATTAGGAAGGTTGAGAACCAATGATCTAAATGACTCTTTGCACGCAAGGAAGCAGCCAGAGAAAACTCTTTTAAAACCTAATACCTATAATCCCAGAACTCAGGAGGCTGACGAAGGCGGACCACGAACTGTTCAAGGATATCCCAGACTACGTAGTGAGTTCTAGGCCAGCCCCAAGATACATGAGACCCTCTGAAATTTAGATCAACCAATCAATCAAAATCCACTGAAAACATCCGCAGCAGGAACTTAGAGACTCACTCACAGATCCGGAGCCAAGCTCCTCTCTCGGGTCTACGAGGCCCTCCAACCTCCCCCGCCCCCTCCTCGTCATCCTACTGCCCAACCAAATGCCGCTCGGGTCTCAGCAACCTGACTCACGAGGGGGGTCTGGGTTGCGTTTGGAAACCGGTGTCGGGGAAGCCGCATGCAGAGGGTAAGGATCTGGGGGAGCGGCAGGGGCAGGGCGGAAGGAAAGCGACTGTCCGGCTCGCTCCGGGACCCCGCGCGCTTGCGCACGGAGCTAGCCGCCGCCGCCGCCGCGTCTCTCACCTGCCGCTTGTCGGACAGCACAGCCTCGGCCAGCTCCTCCACTTCGACCAGGTACCGCAGCACCCGCTCCGCTTCGGGGGACAGCATGGCGACGCGCAGCGCTTGATACCGCTTTTCACACTGCCTCAACGCCGCTTCGGCTTCCTCCGCGCACGCGCCGCGCTGTGGACTTCCGGCACGCCTGCGCAGTGAAAAGAACACGGGCTTTACAGGGGCGGCGCATGCGCACCAGCGGAATGCCGGAGGGGCGGGTCTAGCTTTGGGAGCGGGGCAGGAGCGCCCCCTTCAGTCTCTGAGCGAGCAGCCCAGGGCTCTGCCTCTTGGCTCTCCCTCCCTTCAAAGGGTTCTTGAGCATCCACCGGATGCCAGGTTGAGTGTCAAGAACGCAGCAACGAATAAAGCATCCCGATTCTAGGAACGTCATCCCAGTGGGAAACAACGAACACTGATGACAAAATAATTGCATATTAATTATTCTAGAGCTAAGGGCTTTGGAGACACAGAAATCCTAAGTCCTGTTTAATGAACTGGTGACACTTTCAGCTTCCAGTTTATAAATAATGGGTGATAGAAATCCCCCTCACTCTCTCTCTCTCTCCGAAAGATGGAAAGGAAACAGCAATCATTTAAAATTTCATCTGGCCGCTGCGTTTGTGGAATCCAATGTCCACAATAGCAAGCCAAGCCCCACACAGAAGGAGCTGGAAACCGTCCAGGGTGAGCACTGAATTGTCAGTAAGAGCTGAAGAGTAAATTAGTATTCAAGACTTCCCAGAGGAGGTGGGGGGATGGCTGCTCAGCGGAACCCGAGGGTCCCCCAACCTCTTATTGTAGGGCTGCAAAGCTCGGGGTTCAGAGGTGAGGCCTGGGAGTTTTTGCCTCACTGAAGCAATTTTGCTTTTCTGTGTGTGTAACAAGAATCAACCCAGTGCCTCTCACACGCTCAGCTCTACCACTGAGCTGCATCCCATCTCATTTTACTTTGTGTGGGTGTAGGCGTTGTGTGTGTGTGTGTATGTGTGTGTGTGTGTGTGTGTGTGTGTGGTGCATGCACGTAATTGTGGGGGTACCTGTGCATATGCAGACAAATGCAGAGGCCAGTGTAGGGTATCAGGTGTCTCCCTGTCATTCTCCACCTTACTGTCTTGAAATAGGGCCTCTCATTGAACCAGAAGCTCTCTTTGGGGCTAGTGAGCTCTCTATATCTACCCAATGCTGAGGTAACAGTCCCACCCAACCCTGTCTGGATTTTTATGTAGGTGCTTGGGATTCGAACCCAGATCCCCATTCTTTCAGAGTGAACACTCTTACTCACTGAGGCCCCTCCCCAGCCCTAAGGCCTAGCTCTGATGGTCACTTTTTTAGTCTCCCTTATTGACTCCTGGCAACTTAGGCCTTTCATGCTCTGCCTCCCTTAAATTTCATGGCCACTTTTGTATAGACAGGATTATTACCTTTTAGTTTTATAGTTGCAGGCTGAGGCTGGGAGAAGGGCAGGTCAGACAGAGATTGCAGGGTGGGGGAACCGCTCTGGTCTCAACCACACAACTGTCTTTGGACATTCTCAAATTGTGGCACCTGAGGCCCAGAAGCACCTCCTCTTTGTCTGGCTTTGGGCTGCCTTCAGTTCCCAGAGACTGAGCCAGTTTACTGTGCAGCTGCCTGGTGTGGGGAAGGAGAAGCTTCATTAAGGATTCCTCATGGAGGGTGAATTTGTCGCCAAACCCAGGATGTTTTGTGTAAACACCTTCTGGTTCAGAAATGCAGGCACAAGCCCTGTGAAGGAAGTGGGGATATTTGCCAAAGGAGAAATGAGCCTTTCCAGGAATCCCTGGGGCCTGGACCCTAGCCCTGGGTCTCTCCACCTCGGGGCCAAAGATGGCTGGACAGGCCGACACCTCTGACCCCTGCCAGGTGGGCCTGCATGGAGTGGATTAGGGTAGGCCCCATGTTAACAGTTTCTTGGCTCTGACCATCCCTGAGAGGCCACATCTGGTCGCCGGACATTGGAGAGGAGGTCACAATCATCTCCAAGAGTCAAGACGAACAGGCTGTGGACTCTGGGACATCTCTGATATTTCCTAACTATTCTATTCATTTCATAAAAATGTAGCAATTTCCCAGGCTGGGAGATCCATGGATGAGTCTACCATGAGCAAAGCCAGGTGTGCCCACCTTCAGATTGGGGCAGGAAGTGGACAATGAACAGGGAAACGAGCAAATGTATCCTGTCTCAAGTGCAGTTAGATGTTGTCAGGTGCCCAGCAATGCCAAGTGGAGAGGGGGTGGTGCAGGAGCTGTTTGGGATAAAGCAGTCAGGGAGGGCTTCTCTGTGGAGGTGGCCTTGGAACAGAAGTGTAGGCGAGGTGAGGGAGTGAGCCATGTGGCTATCGGGTGAGGTGAGACAGTACTTCAGGCAGAGGCCACAGCAAGTCCCGAGACCCTGGGGTGAACATTTGGCAACCGTGGACGGCGAGGCTTTAATGCAAGTGGAACAGAGGGGTGAGGAAGAAAGGTAGGCGATGAGGCCAGAGAGGCGAAGGAGGCTCTGGATATATATGGCTGGAGAGAAGAGTGTCAATGCCTGATCCACAGGCTCTCACTGGGCGGCAGCCGCACTCCCTGATGCCCAGACCTGGCACTCCTTGGCACTTGCCTCTGCTCACTGAAGCAAGCTCAGTGGCAACTACCAGGTGAGTCCTGCAGGAAGGAAGCCCTGGGAAGAGGAGGGAGGAATGAGGGATGGTATCCCCAATGGCTTTACTCCTCCGTGGGGTTGCCAATGATGCTCCTCACGTGGGGCTGCTGCATCCATCCAGAGAGTGAAGGGTCACTGGACCAGCGGGCAGTGAGGGAGTCGTGGCCAATGGAAGGATTCTCGGGACATGTGCACTCACTTGCCGTTAGCCTGGTTTAACTTCCTCCCGGCCCTTTGCTCCTGTACAGCCATGCCATGTCTCCACCTCCCGAGGGCCCCTTTAGCTTGCTCTGTGTCCCCACCTCTGCACTTACCACATCACATTTTTTCCTCTCTCTAGACAGCTCCCTTTCTGAGCTTCTTGAAATGGAGACTGTGGATGGAAGTTACCAGACAGAAGTCACACCCATCTGAAAGACTGTGTGAGGCTGGTTGACGGAGTCAACCTTTGTGGTTGTGGAGAGTTGGAATGTTGTAGATTCAGAGATGAATTACATTGCACCGTCTCTATTCTCCTTACCAAAACCTCATTCTGTTGTACTTCATCTAACTGCAGTTCCCACCAACGTATTTAATAAATGGCTTGAATTTTGCCTTTATTTTGTTCTGAGACTAATAAGACCTCATGTAACCTGGGCTGGGCTTGGCGGCTCATGCCGTTAATTTCAGCACTTGGGAGGCAGAGGCATCTCTGTGAGTTCAAGGCCATCCTGCTTTACATAGAGTTTTCCAGGCCAACCAGGCAGCCATTGTGAGACCCTGCCTCAGAAACAAACAAACAAACAAACAACAAAATAACTCATGTAACTTCTGTCCATGGTGGAGCAGTCACCTGAGATAAACTGAGTCTGTGTTTGGGACTCTGGGCTCTCATATTGGCGGCTCAGAATAAACTGTATTATTCCCTTTGAGATGACAGCTAGGTTTGCCCGACAGGACCTTGGCTGTCAAGTTCATTGCTGTATCTCTGGACCAAGAATGTGCACGGTGCCGTCATTCTCAGTCAGTGAATGTGGCACAGCCAGCCCGGGAGGCCAGCAGGTTAAGTCCAGGCTAGGTGCCCACATGGCTAATATATTGCAGAGGCAATTTAAGCTCTAGGCGGAGGACCTTTTGTTCCTCCTCCTCCTCCTCCTCTTTTCCCCCTTCTGTTTGTTGTTGTTGAAACAGGGTTTCTCTGTGTAGCCCCGGCTGTCCTGGAGCTTTCTCTGTAGACCAGACTAGCCTAAAACTCAGATTTACTGGCTCCTGCCTCCTGAATGCTGGCATCAAAGATGTGGGCCACCACCACCCAGCCTTATTTTGTTCCTTCTTAATCTAAAAAATTCTATCTGCCGGGCGGTGGTGGCGCATGCCTTTAATCCCAGCACTCGGGAGGCAGAGGCAGGCGGATCTTTGTGAGTTCGAGGCCAGCCTGGGCTACCAAGTGAGTTCCAGGAAAGGCGCAAAGCTACACAGAGAAACCCTGTCTCGAAAAAACAAAAAAAACAAAAAAAACAAAAAAAAAAAAATTCTATCTGGTCTTACTTGGGTCTGTCCACAACTCTAACCACATCAGTTTAGGGGTACGGCTCTTGGGTCTTGGTGTTTGGGTACTGAAGTCAATAGCAAGAGTGCTCTGTCCATCCCCTGGAGTCCTTCCTGCCATTTCTGTGCGTTCAGAGATGGCACCCACGACTCTCCCTGGGAAGCATGGCCCTCGGGCTACTGCAACCTCTCAGAGGATAAACTTTCATTCCTAGCCATAGCCATCAGCTTGGGACTTGGAGGCCTGTCTTTTTGGATGAGGTGAAGGGTGGGGGTCAATGCTTCCACGTCTAACTTACAGATGGGGTCCCCTAAGCACCAGGCAGATGAAGCCGCCATCTGTGCCTCTGGCTGAGATCACAGCCGCACTGTACTGACTTCTATGTCTGCCTCCCTGGCTCCTTAGTGCTTTGAAACCCTCCACGACTCTCACCTCACTCCCTAGCTACCCTAGATGGCGCATCTACCACCACTGTGACAGAGAAGTTAAGAAGGTTTTTATTTTTTTAAGATGGTACACATAATCCCAATACTCCAGAGGCTGAGGCAGGTGGATCACAAAGAGTCCAAGGTCAGTCTGGGCTACAAAGAAGTGGGGGGACCACTCTTCCCAGAACTCCTGGGGAGCTTCCTCTGCTCATTTGTCCTGCATGCTGTGTATTTAACTTAGGGTGCCACCTGTCAATATCCCTGAGCCACAAAGGAGACTGTGAGGCCACAAATCCATCTCATTTGCACACTGATATGTCCCTGAACAGTGTACGGCCCAGAGTAAGTGCTCAGCAATGTTCCTGATGAAGGAATAAGATGATGAACCAGAATTGTAACCAAGGCAGCTTCTTCACGAGGCTGGGCTCCTAACCCTGTGCTGAGACCCTGGGGTGGGGACAGGAAGAGGCACTGCCCACCAGGCTCTCCTGATGGAGGGAATGATGGAAGAGAGACTGTGGAAGGTTCTGAGCAAGGATGGGTGTGATGGGTTCTGTCTGGACGAGACCCTCTGACTCAGGTGGGATGACAGGCGGAGAGGGGCAAATGTGCCGCACTCATTCATCTGTGCTGTGGAGCGGGTATTGTTGTGGGCGGGAGGGCGATGCCTAGCCCTCGAGGAGGTGACCAGCTGCAGCTGCAACCGCAGCTGCACTGGGGGTGGAGAGTAGAGCAAAGCACTTATCCGTGTCCCCTTGCTCCAGACAGCTTGGGTGGCTGCCTCACCAGCTCTGGTCCATGGCTCTGGTCCATGGTCCAGGTGCCCACACCCCTGCTCTTGTCCTGAGTGTGGGCTGTGTGCTGGCCTGGGTGGTCCCCAGCTCCTCCCTCTACTTCCTTTGTGAGCTTGGAAGGTGGGAGGGAGGCATCCATTCCTCTCCTCCCATGACCCAGAGCACAATCTCCCTCATTCATGGGATTCTCCTGTGCCCTTGCTTCATCCTCCCACATCCCTGGATAAAGCAGAAATATGATTCCCATTGGGCAGATGAGGACATTAAGGTCAGGAAAGGGGACAGGATCCTCCTGAGGTCATGCAGCCAGATGGGGACACCAGGTGGGGGCATGTCTCCAATTCCCCATGCCTAGATTTTCACCAGGCAACAGATGGCTCTGTGGCTTGACTTGAAACATCTTAAATGACCCCCAAAAGAGTACAAGTCCAGGATATTGCAGGCCTCTAGGAGCAAATCTTTATATAACGTCAATCCTAAATGTTTTCATGTGAAATTCTGTGATTAGAGCTGCCCTGCTTCCCCCCAGGACTGAAAGTTGCATGCTGAATAAGCACTCTACCACTGAGCTATAGCTTTTTACTTTTTACTTTGAGATTAGGTCTAACTAAGTAGCTCAGGCTAGCCTTGAACTCACTTAACAACCCGAATAGGCCTTGCACTTAGGATCCTCCTCTCTTAGCTTCTTAGGTAACATTGCTGAGTTGAGATCGTAGGTCTGTATTAGGGAGTCCAGCTCAGATCCACCTTTACGTGGGTTCTGGGGGTGGAACTCAGGTCTTCTTCAGGCTTGTGCAGTAAACACCTCCACCCTCTGAGCCACCTCACCAGTCCACATATGTCCATCTTCTGTGGCTTGCCCTTGGTGATGGCTGTAAGTATTGCATTTATTGATCTCTTGCAGGCAGGCATCTAAACTGCTTTCTGTGGTGGATGATAGGAAGAGCTGGTACAACGGTCCCTTGAATAAGAATGGCCCCCATAGGCTCATGTATTTGAATGTTTAGTCACTGGAGAATGGAACTCTTTGAAAGGATTAGAAGGATTAGGAAGTGTGGCCTGGTTGGAGGGAGTGTGTCACTAGGAGTGGCCTTGAGGTCTCAAAGGCTCGTGCTAGGCCCAGTCAGTTTCTCTTTCTGATGGTCGTGGATCAGGATGTAGAACTCTCAGCTCCTTTCCTGCACCATGCCAGCCTGCATGCCGCCATGCTCCCTGCCATGATGCTAATGGACTAAACCTCTGAAACTGTGAGCTTTCTTTTGTAAGAGTCGCCTCGGTCATGGTGACTCTTCGCAACAATGGAACAGTGACTAAGACATTCCTCAATGTGGGTTCCCTCGTCCTTGTCTTTCCTCTGCTCTTCTCGGGTCCAGGTCTTCAAAGGTGCCCCCACTGCCCTTTCTGGCATGCCCTCTGCTTTCCTTATTCAGTGGTGTTCACTGTTCCCTTGAGGACACACGATCCTGACTCCCCAGATCAACTCTCAGCAGGTTTGGGTCTCACTTCTGGCCTCACCCACACTCCCTGTTTTGGACTAGACCTTTTTTTCTCTCATGTATGTGGTATTCTCACCAGGACAGAAGCTGTATAAGACATGGATTCCAGGGACTTCCTCTCAGGGGTCAAGGGCCTCAGAATAAGCTCCAGAAAAGTCTGTTGAATGACTGAGCATGACCACAACCTAAGAATCTTGGGGGAAGTTAAGGACCCAATTTGTTGTTTTGTTTTGGGATAGGGTCTCATGTAGCCCAAGCTGGCCTCAAACTTGATATATAGCCTGAGGATAACCTTGAACTTCTGATCTTGCCTTCACCACCAGAGTACTGGGACTGCAGGCATGCCCAGTTTTACAGAGTGCTGGGGATTGAGCCCAAGGCTTTTGCATGCTAGAGAAGTGCTCTAAAAATAAGCTGAGCTACATCCTCAGCCCCAGGATCCTGTTATTTCTCTCTCCCTCTTCTCTTCCCTTTTCTCCTCCACCCTTTACTCTTACAGGTAAATTAGGGAGTGATAATGGAATGGAGGGGTCAAAATGTCCTCACTCTTGGGTAGGAATGTGTGGATTGACCCTCTGTGAAATGAGTGTTGGCATTTGGGACAATGGCTGTGAGTATTGACACTGTGCTAGGCCCCCAGGGACCCAGTGGTATAAGGACAAGCCCAGTCCTTGGTTGTATAGGCTTTCAGCCATGAGCACCATGTGTTTGACATTTATTCATGTACCATTTCCTAATTGTGATAATGCTCAGACAAAAATCTCACAGTCCCGTGAGATTGTGTGGAGGGTCCTAAATTAAATCTAGGGATGGAGGAAGGCTTCTTGAGAAAGTGACATTTAAGCTGAGATCTAAGGATAACTAGAAATAAACTAAGCAAAGGAAAAATGTGGAGATGGAGCTGTGTGATGCTCTAAGCCATGTGAATGGGTTCAAGCTGTGCCTTGCCCTGGGAGACTCCATTTTACAAGTAGCATTTGGCTGCACTTGCAAGTATAAAGGGAAGGATGACTCTGCATCTTCATTATTTACATAAACATCACCACTGTGTAGCACCAGCCATGAGGCATGGACCCCACCACTGTGAAGCACCAGCCATGAGGCATGGACCCCACCACTGTGTAGCACTAGACATGAGGCACATACCTCACCATCGTGTAGCACTAGACATGAGGCATGTACCCCACCGCTAGCCATGAGACACAGACCCCACTGCTATGAAGCACCACCAGGAGGCACAGACCCCACGACTATAAAGAACCAGCCATGGGGCACAGACCCCACTGCTATAAAGAACCAGCCATGGGGCACAGACC